AATGAGGTGATTCAAGGATAAATTCTGGAGTCTATCGATATATCGAATAGCGTTTAATCTAAGCTGGCTAAAGGTTGTAGGAGATGCTTAGCACTGTGCACCCACTCGTTATCCGGCATGGTTGGATGACCAGGCATCTTCAGCTGGATGAGTTCATTAAAGTTAATGATGTCAGTATCGAATGTCAAAGGCTTACTGAACTACTTAATTTGAGGGTTTATTTACCGCCATAACTTTTTAATGTTACTTGTTGAATGTAAACATCAGTAATTACATGCTCAGCTTCAAAGATCGTATGGTTGAGGATCAATGTCACTACAAGTTAATAAATGAACAAGATTAATAAAAGTAAATAACAGAATGTTCGTACAGATATACCAGAGAGTTAGCAATTAGTTTAATGTGATAATACTATAGTATGAATTCACAGTCTTTTCGAATAATTCAAGAATAGCAGTACTCCCAGGTTTTAAAGTTAACAAACACACATCAGGGTTGACAAAAAAGAATATACGCTATCCACAACGGAGGCTCGAACGTGATAGAACTGACAGTTCCACCGTCTAAGCGTCTAATGTCGAAATGACTCCAAATTTAATCTAAAGACGCGACAATAGATGATAAGAAAATGGTGTTTCAATGTGTCTAGTAACATAGTAATTTGCAATTTCTAAGTTGGCTAGCTATTAAAGGGAATACGTCATGCGTTTGTCTAGGACACTAACTGGTGCGGTTAATCGACCAACTGCCCCATGCAATGATGTTTACAGCAGAACTAACATGTTTAACATCAAAATAGAATGCATAAAAGCTGTCTATCTAGAAGTACTCGCCACTACACCCATAAATCGCAGAATATGTGCCAATCTTGTGTTAGCCCCTTTTATTTTCAAAAATGACTTGATTGTTTTCATGCCAAATAGCCCCGATCCATCAGTAATTAGCATCGCTTGTGAGATAACGACAAGGTGCAAGAAATGAAATTGAAGTTCCGTCCATCGTGATGGAGATGCCACAGGTATTCGGAGTTTGACAACGCTTTAACCAGTAACCTCTTCTAATATGAAGCGTACCCACCAAGTGAAATCAAAAGACAGAAGCGAAGAGGTTTGAAGATATATTTGATAGGCTATCAATATATCGAGGATCGTCTGATCTAATCTGGCTAGCGATTGCAGTAGATGTTGAGCACGGCGTTCCCACACGTGATCTGTTGAGGATGCATGACCAAGCGCCTCCAGCTAGATGAGTCCATTAAAGCCAATATGGCCAGCATCCAATGTCGAAAACTTGCAGAAGTATTTATTTTGGGAATTTATTTACCGTTACAGTGACTACTAGTCGAATGTTAAAACATCTTCAAAAATAAATGACAATGTGATTATTTAAAGTATCCGAATCATTGTAATAACTAGGAATTCCGAAAATGGGTCAATTTACGTAAAGCAGAACTAGATGGACACCAATGAACGTATTATATTTGAATTCGTATTAAGCGGGTCCTCAAGTACAATCGAATCACTAGTTCATACAAATACCACAAATACATGTCCTATCTGTAAGCAATTGTAAGAAGAACCTATTTCTAGACTGACATAGTGAATTTAAAGGTCCTTTCACAACCATTTGATGGTCGGTAAAAATGGTGAATTCACGGCCTTCGATACAGTGTTGAAAATGCCGTACAACATAATGCATAGCTAGGAGTTCCCTACCGAATGTGCTGTACCTCGATTCAGTGTCTAGCAACTGTCTAGAGAGAAATGCCAAAGGTTTCCAAGAGTAGTTAACCCATTGTTGTAAGACTGCTCCGATTGCTGAGTCGGATGCGTCTACTGCGATGCAAATGGGCGCTTCAGGGTCCTCATGAGCAAGCATGGTCGTTTGAGCGATACGTTCCTTAACAGTTGCGAATGCTTTTCGTGCGGTGTCATCCAGATTGGTGGATTTCGCATTTCCACGAAGTTGGTCGGTAAGAGGATTCATAAGGGACGCGCATTTCGCTATGAACCGTCTATAAAAACTTACCAGACCGTTAAACGTGCGTAATTGCTTGATGGTGGTCGGTTCTGGTCAATCCAGGATGGTCGCCACTTTTGTTCTAAGGGCTCGGATGCTTTGCGAATCTAGTGTCTCCTTGGAAGTCCGATGAGTCAGTTCCGATTTGGCATTTCAGAATGTTTACAGTAATGCCATGTTTTTGCATTAGATCGAAAACAAGATCCAGATGCTGGAGATGTGATTCTCTGTCCGAACTTGCCATTAAGCAATCATCAACATGCGCATGTACGAAGTTGAGACCTCGAAAAACGTCATCTATGAACCTATGAAAGGTTTTTGCAGCGTTTCTCAGGCCGGAAGGCATTCACAAAAATTCATAGAGTCCGAAGGGAGTTATAATAGCGGTTTTTGGAATGTCTTCAGTAGCCATAGGAATTTGGTTATACGCTTTAACCAAGTCGATTTTCGAAAAGACAGTTGTACTTTTTAAGGACCATGTGCAACGGAGATGCCCATGAGCGGTTTGACGGTCTTATGACATCTGGGTCTATCATGTGGTCGAATTCGTTATTCGCCAACCTTAACAGGTGGTCCAGTAGTCGTAATGTGATGTGTAACTTTGCAGGTTACACACGACAATTTCGGTTGTGGTTGATAAATGCCAGAATACTTATCGAGTAGTGGTTGATCGAATGAATCTATATTGTGCTTAATTGTTACTGGAGATAACCTGGAACCAGAAAAAAAGTCAGGCAGACTGATATATTAGTATTTCCGTCTACTAGCCTCCGTTTGCGCGTATCGATAATTAAGTTGTGGTGTTGTAGAAGGTCCATACCAATGATTGGCATAGAAACATCCGCAACAACAAAGATCCAGTGAACGGGTTTGCGTAAACCCACCTTAAGATAAACGTACCTTTTGCTATACGTAGCGATAGGCTTTCCGTTCGCCGCCTGTAGATTTAAAACCGGTTTGTGAAGCCGGTCGTTAGAATTCGTTGGGAGAATGCCAACTTCTGCGCCAGTATCGACGAGGTAGCGAACTCTCGTTACCACATCTGTGACGTATAATAGACGGCTATGTTCGCCGGCTACGGTTGCCGCTAACGCCTGCCGGCTTGGAAGTTTCCCGAAACATTTTTCGTGTGTACCGATTTTGAGTTGGGAAAATTGCAGGGTTTTCTGCGATTTCTGGAGGACTTTCCATACTGGTTATGATGCCAACACCAGTCGAGATTTTCCGTCTCTCGTAGTCTAGAGACGGATCGCCTACGTGATGTGCTTCTTCGTGGAGTGTGTTACCGTTTACGGTCGTTACGAAATTCAAGATGACGTGTAAGTGTATGACATAACTCTGTAATGTCATTCTGGGTCATTTGAGGCGTTTGTTTGACTGGGAAAACCTCGACATTAGAAGGTTTAGTGATTTCAAGAAAGCGGCCAGCAGATGAAGACCGCTCGTCTACGGCGTTGTTTTGAAACGATACCAGCACAGCTTGTACCTGTTGAGTAAGTTTGTATAAGAAAAGTTGGTTGAATAGGCCATCATCGAAGGTTCTTTGGCCGTTAACCTCTCTCATTCTTTGCAACTTGTTTGTCGGAGAACCGTGATGCAGGTTGATGTTATTAAAGAGTTGGTCAAACCTTTGTCGATCGGTTAGATCTCTGCGTTTAGGGGTAGATCGTTTATGTGTTTCTTAGGGTTCTGAAACATCGCAAGTAAACATACTAGGTGTTACGTACTTGTTAAATTCGTGCAGTAGTGCCTTGACTACTGCACGGAATTGTACGTCTTTCACGCTGTGCTCGCAGAAGTCGGCTTCTGCGTAGCTGAACCAGGCTTAGATGTTGTCTGGCCAGAAGGGCATTAGTTGGAACAAAGATGGGGACATAGTCTTTAACTTAAGTACTTTTGGGTGTCTGTTCAGTCGTGGTGAAATATCAAGCACGAGAATGAACGAGTGAGAAATATATATATCCAGAAACACGGAAAAAGTCACTATATGTAAAAAATTAAAATAAGGCAGTGATATATTAAACCCCAAAAGGAACAGACTCACAGTTTGCAATTTGGTGTACCAGATCACGTTTTGCTCACCAATGCATAAAAACTGTCTATCTAGAAGTATTCGCCACTACACCCATAAATCGCAGAATATGTGCCAATCTTGTGTTAGCCCCTTTTATTTTCAAAAATGACTTGATTGTTTTCATGCCAAATAGCCCCGATCCATCAGTAATTAGCATCGCTTGTGAGATAACGACAAGGTGCAAGAAATGAAATTGAAGTTCCGTCCATCGTGATGGAGATGCCACAGGTATTCGGAGTTTGACAACGCTTTAACCAGTAACCTCTTCTAATATGAAGCGTACCCACCAAGTGAAATCAAAAGACAGAAGCGAAGAGGTTTGAAGATATATTTGATAGGCTATCAATATATCGAGGATCGTCTGATCTAATCTGGCTAGCGATTGCAGTAGATGTTGAGCACGGCGTTCCCACACGTGATCTGTTGAGGATGCATGACCAAGCGCCTCCAGCTAGATGAGTCCATTAAAGCCAATATGGCCAGCATCCAATGTCGAAAACTTGCAGAAGTATTTATTTTGGGAATTTATTTACCGTTACAGTGACTACTAGTCGAATGTTAAAACATCTTCAAAAATAAATGACAATGTGATTATTTAAAGTATCCGAATCATTGTAATAACTAGGAATTCCGAAAATGGGTCAATTTACGTAAAGCAGAACTAGATGGACACCAATGAACGTATTATATTTGAATTCGTATTAAGCGGGTCCTCAAGTACAATCGAATCACTAGTTCATACAAATACCACAAATACATGTCCTATCTGTAAGCAATTGTAAGAAGAACCTATTTCTTGACTGACATAGTGAATTTAAAGGTCCTTTTACAACCATTTGAAGACATTATGCGACACTCCACATTGGAATACTGAATGGGAGCCGCCTAGTTCACCCTTGTCTCAAGGATGGACAGTGAAGTGATTCCCAACGGTACGTCACTACTTTTCAACTTACGTGGGTTCTTAAAAGCAGATGAATGTAATGCCGATAATGCAACTTCACCAACTATGGATCCTGAGTTGGCGAATGGTGAAGTTATTCAGACGGAAAACATTGATGCGTCAAAGGTCCATGAAAACGATGGTTGCTCGTTTATAGAAGACGAGAGAAATGCAGTAATTGCTGCTGCTGTTGCCGACTTTGACGCAGATGACCAGTGCGAAGAGAATGATGGTGATGATGACACAGTCAATGTAATTATAAAGCCTTCCAGTAAAACAGGGATTTACAAAACCGGTGCAGCTTATCAAGCGCGATCAGTTGCTCACACAACCCAACGTAAGTTTTGAATGATTGGTAACTAGTATCTGGCGCTTACCATGAACTTTTTTATTCATGCATACATAAAACTTGTGAAGGCTCTTTACTCGAACACTACTAATCGAGTTAGAGCTTATGGCGAACTGTCATCTGCTTTTGCAACCTCGAGTGGTGTCCGTCGAGGCTGCTCACTTTCTCCATTTTTGTTTAACTTCTTCGTAGACCTACTGATGGAAATAACGCTCTCATCGACTGAATTCTCGGGTAGTGATCTTCCAGGAGGCCCACTTATCGACTTAAAATACGCAGATGACATAGTCCTGTTTGATAAAGACGCTGATAGAATGCAGTCTTCTTGTAGCACTGAGCAACAATGTCAGGATGTTTGGGATGCGCTTCTCTCCCTCTAAATGCAAGTTGTTGCTTCAGGACTGGCCTGCGTCAACACCCGAACTAAAGATAGGGAGTGAAGCAATCGAACGCGTTGACAACTTCACTTTTCTTGGAAGTTCGATCACCCCTAATGGGTCGATGTTTGACGAAATCTGCACGGATTCGAAAAACTCGTTCGCTTTTGCCAATCTACATCACCTATGGCGAAGGCGAGATATCCGTCTATCAATTAATGGAAGAGTATACTGTGCAGCAGTTCGTTCTGTTTTAATTTAAGGCTGTGAAACATGACCATTAAGAGTAGAAGATACTCGTAAGTTACTAGTATTTTACCACAGATGCCTTAGGAATATTGCTGGGATCACCGGGGAAGTAATAGTGAGGTTAGACGCAGTGTATTAGGGAATGATGATAAGTTAGTTGGTGAGGTTGTGGATCTTCATCGACTGAGATGGTTGGGTCACAAGTTACGTATGCCTGAACATCGATTACCACGACGCTCAATGCTAACCGGTGTTGGGGATAATTGGAAGAAAGTTAGGGGTGGCCAAACCAAAACGTAGCACCAGTGTTTGAAGTCACTAACTTCTGGTCTGAGCCATGTTGGAAGATTCAGACTGCCTGGTTGGGGTCCGCGTGACTATCGTAACCAATGTTTGGAGACTCTTGGTGACATGGCTCAGAATCGATCACAATGGAGTCGGTGTATACACTTTCTGTCTTCCTTCAAATTAAGAGATTAAAATCACTTCATATCTTTCTTTCTATGAACTAATTTTTTCTTCCTGTACTATATCCGTATATGCAATCTTTGTTTTATATATTATCACCGTTGAATTAACTACTTCTATGAATCCAGTGTTCATCTTTTTGTGCTAATGTGGTATGGCAACTTGGACCAATGCATATATATGCCTGGTCCTACGTTGCAGCTAACTAACGATTAAGATAAAGAGCGGTGGACATCGATTACATTGTCAACTTTAAGTGGTGTCCAACAGGGCTAATTGCGTTTTCCATTTTTATTCAGCCTAATAATAGATGTTCTTTAAAATGCAAAAGTTTCGATCTTCATACTTTGCAAACAAATCCCCAGGCATTATATTCACATACTGGTCTGGAGAAAATCCTCTTGCTGAAAGCGGCCGATTGACTACGCTATAGGTTAACAGTGCCATGTTTGGTGTGGGGTTCTCTGTCTTCAGCTGAAAAATATCGCTTCTGGATTGGTCTACGTCAATGCCTGAGTCTCATCAACACTGATGGGCCTAAAGACATTTGAATAAAAAAGTAATGGTCACATTGGGTCTCGATTGTGTTTTGAATGTATAAGCCAAGAATGAAGTTCCCATTCAATGTCAGATTTCTCTAAACAAAAAACATATAAACGTTACAACGTATGTTGTATGGCAATGAACATTGTTTATTAGTATGGAAGATAAAGTAGTGTTTACATAAGATTATGTCTTATGGTTGATTTAAAGGGTAATCTCTGCGAATCTCAACCTACTTTGTAGAGAAGATATTAATATGAAACAATGCCTTTTTTTTATCAACTAATTCTTTCTTCCTGCACTATATCCGTATATGCAATCTTTCTTTTATCTATTACCACCATTAACTGAACCACTTCTATGAATCCGGTGATCATCTTGCTGTGCTAATGTGGTATAACAACTTGTACCGACGCATATATGTGCCTGGTCCTATGTTGTAGCTGACTAACTGCTTTTCATGTCCACACAACACACCATAGCTTTATTTTTCATTTTAAAATTATAGGTTCTGAAGGCGATTCACATCAGATGGTTTATCTAGCTGTATGAAGTACCTAACATGGCTTATTTGGCTTTCAGAAATAGTTATTTTGTGAAAGATTATGTATATCATCTATAAAATGCTGGTTGATCTTACCAACTGGAGATGTAAAAGAAAATCAATAGGGACTACAAAACCCCTTATGGCGTGTTATTATTCCCAAGCGTTGATATGAAACAAGGTTGCTGTGTTTACGTAGATAAAGGCTTGATAAACTATTTAGTCGATTTTCCCGGAATTCTAGGTATTTTTATCTAAGTATCATAAAGGGAAGTTGCAAGTCAAAACACCATATTTAAGAATTATTGCAATCGTTTCCCGAGGACTCCATTTTATTATATGGTATTCATTGCGAATGAGTTTTGTAAGAAAACAAAAACTGATATGACTTAATGCAAAGAAGAACTACAAATGTTCTTCAGTTGTCGGAGTGCTACCCTTGCTTTACCGATTCTTACCTTCTTGTTTATCAATGATGTCGCACAGGTATGTAGAGACTTTCACCTCTCCCAGAGATCTACCAAGTACGATCCGGGTGGTGATCACTTTGTTTTACTTTGTGATCTTGCCATTTTGAAGCCTACTATTGTGAAAGCCGCCATTTGCACTGTGGTTCCATTTGTGTATGCAATGAGAAGACCAAGTCATTTTCCGATTCACCCAGTTCTGTCCACTGTATTTCTTTCTTCAGCTGAAAAATGAAGGTCTTGGTACTCTGGTCAGCATCTAGCAGAAATAGAAAAGACGAGAGTAGATAGTCTTGTTGAACACTAATATTCACTTTGAATGCATCTTGGAGGTGCCCACCATATATGAGAGCCACTCAGTCCCTCGTAGGAGTTTCACATAATAGTGGCGATCTTCTTAGATGCGTTATAATATTGAAGGTCCCACAAGGTTTCCCTATTCTCACTGTAAAATGCTTTCTTATGACCAAGAACACTAATGTATAGCAATGGGTCTCATTCAGTTGATTGTTCATCAATGATCTTCAGTATCGATATATGGTCAATTCTTACGAAAGTAATCCTATTGATCTCGAAGTTGTGCGTCTACTCAATCTCCTTCGGTTCAGTAACACTTTGTCTAATAGTGATAACAGCACGTTCCTTCTGAAATTTTTGTACTCTAGCAACTTGATGCTGTATCCATCTTTCTGTTTTTTGTTGTTTCTAAAAAATATAGAGGACCTTGTATTCACCTCTTTATCTGGCTTCAGTTACTTTGTCATTCTGATTATTTTGATGTCCTTTCAGATTTCTATTGTTGGTGGAGTATCATTTACAGGGAGGTCTGTGTGTGAGGCTTTGATGTCTGGTGTGTTTAGTAGCACTGGTATATTCAAAAGCTTCAAAGTGATCTACCCACCTGTTCCGCTTCTCTAGATCCTGATTATTCTTCTTTGTTCCTGACCGGTATTTCTGATATACCATGTTTCGCTGTCAGCTTTTTGGTTGTATTATGTAGTTTTTTATATTTCCTTCTGTTATAGCTTGTTTTCTTGTAGTTCCTTGGCCTTCCACACACTCCCGTGTCAGGATCAAGGCTCGTCGTCACTTATTTGTTTATTCTTTATTTAGCCTATGCATTGGATTTCACCACTTTTTGTTGTTGACTGGTGTCATGTCACTCCTTTCTTGAATCTTGCCTAGGATAAGGAAGCCTGTTGTCCTATTTAGAATAGTGTTCGGACTATAAGAGCTCTTACATGTAGTTTAGAGCGTGGTTTCAGAAGATTGGGAATAACGTTCCGCGTACTCGAATCGTTTGAATTAGCGGTGCTAGGTGATAAAGGGACGTGGGAAGGGTTAATCATGGAGATAAGAGAGTTATTAGTAGGTGTAGGAAGGATTTGAATGTGACCAACTTGGTCTCGTGTGCTGTTACAGGTATGAGGGCTGATATCAATTCCCGGCTGCCCACACCATGGAAGGGTATTTTTTGAGGAACCTGAAAAGGAAGTTGGATTAATATTAGTCTTAATGGCCTGGGAGCGTGACCTCACAGCCCAAGGCACAACTACTTGAGGCCAGTCGCACACTGCATTTTTGTGGGAGATTTTTGACGTGTTAGCTCCGTTCTTCAAAGGGCCTTACCGCCGGAGAAGGAAATCCGTGAGGTAAGGTGAGGTGTGACAATTTTAAGGTCGACCTCTTCTAACCCCTTCATTCCTTGTGAGAATGCAGCATCGCTGCAGATGCTAGTTGTCCAAGGGGAACACCTTACTACTGTCATACCCCTCTACAGTCAGCAGTACCACTTCGCCTTCAAACCTTGAGTTGCTGCTTTAAGTTTTACCGTTCTCCAATAGACCAGCCTGGCATGGTAGAACGTGCAGGAACATGTGTCCCAGCCAATATAGCTCGGTTGGGTCATCACGATAGGCAAGGCCGACCACCACGTCAAGGTAGCAGCTACGGTCGGGATACCCGGGCTTTGGACCGGCATGAGGTAAAGAGTGATTCCAGGTAGAGTTAACTATAGTGCGCTGTACTATTTTACATATTCTTAGGCAGAGGCTGTAGCAGTTTTCTCTGAATCGTCCTGATGTTGGTAAATGTACTGCCGAAGCGAGTATGAACCGGATAGTACTAGACATTAGTTAGTTAATAACATAATGTATAAATATAGTTCACGATATTATAAGTTTAAACTATTATAGCCGACAAATGTAATGAATTCACTGAGTTGTATGAATACTCCTTGCTAATAATAAGACGACAAAGAAAACTTTATAGGTACTGTGCTGTACTCGTGCTCTGATGTATCTATGTTTTGCGCTCCATTTTATAACTATGAAATATCTTCCATATTTTTTCCGTACACTAGTTGAAGCTTGTAAGATTTTGAACAACACTTCTTTTCACTCTCAGTTGATATATTGCCTTATGATGCATCTACTATTTTAATTAAATAAAACCATCATGTACTAACTGATTGGTCTTATCGATGACCATATTGTTTTCACAGTGTATAATATTTTCGTTTGAAACTTAGTGACGAAATAGAGTCATCTTTGCACTTATGATATGTCTATCCATTACTGCTATGTTGCTTCAGGACTGGCCGGCGTCAGTGCTTGAATCGGCGATAGGGAATGAAGTAGTTGAGCGTATCGACAGCCTCACTTATCTTAGGAATCCGGTTAGTCCTGGTGAACTGATGTCTGACGAAACCTCGGCACCGATTCAAAAATCTCGATTGACTTTTGCCAGTGTACGTCACTTGTAGCGTAGGTGAGATATCTGTCTACCAACTAAAAAAATGAGTTTACTGCACAGCATTTCACTCTGTTCTGCTTTGTGAATGTGAAATACATTTGTTAGGAGTAGAGGTTTCTAGTATTCGATCATAGATGTCTTAGAAGCATTACTCGTGTACTTTGGGACCAGCGGGTAAACAATATTAAGACTAGGTGTAGGTTTTACTTATTTACTCACGCTTGTTACTCCTCGCGAAGGAGCATAGGCCGCTCACCAGTATTCTCCCTCCAACCCTGTCCTGGGCAATCCTTTCTAGCTCCTTCCAGTTGTTATTCATCCTTTTCATATCTGATTCTATTTCCAGACGTAATGTGTTCTTTGGCCTTCCTCTTTTCCGCTTCCCTTCAGGATTCCAAGTTAGCGCTTGTCTCGTGGTGCAGTCTGATGATTTGCGTAATGTATGTCCTATCCATTTCCATCGTCTTTCCCTAATTTCCTCTTCAGCTGGGAGCTGGTTTGTTCTCTCCCACAAAAAGCTGTTGCTTATGGTATAGGTGTAGGGTACTATTAAGTAAAAAGGACTAAATCGATTGATAAGGTAGTAACGCTTCATTAACTGAGGTGTCTAGGACATGCGTTACGTATGCCTAATAACTACCTACTTCAATGGGCAATGTTGTATGATGTAGGGATAAACTGGGAGAAAACTGGGGGTTGTCAGACCAAAACGTAGCACCAGTTTATGAGTTCATTGACAATTGGACTGAGTCATGTTACCAGGTCTAGACTACCTGGTTGCGGTTGGAGTTGGCGTGATTATTGTAACCAGTGGTTAGAGACCTCGAATGACATACCTGGAAGTCGTTCGTAAAAATACAGGATCATACATATTTGTACTCTCCTAGGTCATATGTTCCTGGATTTTTCACAATTTTTTTCACTAATTTGTGTTCTTGCATCGCATCTTCGATATTTAATCCTTTTTGTTATCACTAGTACTTTTAACTACCCTTGTTACACTGGAATTTTCCCTAACATTTCCACCTTACTGTGCTTATAGGTTGTGGCAACTGGAACTGATGTTTACACTCAACAAGTTCTATGTTGTTTTTGACTAACTGAACAGTATACCACAAGATGTCTTGTCATCTCTTTTAATTACTTGATCGATAAGAGGCTCCAAAATATCTAGCTCATATCTGGATTTTAGACGTGATCAAACAGCATCACCCTCTTACGTATTTCTTTACTTGTACTTATTATTGTTTTGAGGAAAATTAATTTAATGGCGTTCTTTTACATAACAAACATGTTTTTGGACTTCACAGGAAAGCACCTTCCGGGAATATTATCACATCAAAGTAACTTGTTAATGGAATCGTAACTTAGTCGTCAAAGTTAGTTTCCTGAATTCTCTCAGTGTATACTATGAATTTACTTATTCTTTTCCATCGAAAAGTAGGAAAAGAAATATCCAACTTGTGGAAATTCGATAAACATATTTGTGTTATTCTGAGTAGCTGAGGTAATAAACGAAATTCACTCATTTTTAGATCGTATTAAGAATCCACGCATGTGATTCGTGCTGTAGAGACTAAATTTAATTATCTACTTTAAAGCTTTCTAGCCGCATTTTGTATCCATAATAAATTACTTATTAAGCTTTTTTGTTCACTATTTTAGATCAGAAGGTCGCTCGTCAAGGTGTAGAATTGGATGATCCAGGAAATATTAATGGAATCCCAACCGTCGAGTACAATCTTTCCACATTAGGAGATGAAGAAAAACCATGGAAGCGACCCGGAGCCGATATAACAGACTACTTTAATTATGGATTTACTGAAGAGACGTGGATTCAATATTGTGAGAAACAGAAAATCTTGAGACAGGAATATGCTAACACAACACTGAAGCCTGTTTTAAGTAGTGGGGGTGCCAATTTGTTACAGCGGATTCGTTCTGGTACAGTTTCTTCCAATACCCGCTCATTCGATGGTTCTAAACAAGCTAGTATCAATGTAATAAATCTGAGTGGTCCTGGATTAAACACGCGATATTTAAATTCTATTTCCAGCTCTAAATCCGGGAATTCCCCATCTGATGTCTCAAATCGTCTTTTAAATGGAACCGCAAATAATTCTTCAAACTTACTCAGTCAATTCAATCAACCACCACCTGGCTATTTAGGTGGAACTCAACAAACAAATGGAAATACAACTGGTACTGGTGTTTTTAACATACCTCCTCCAGGTTTTGGAACATTAACACCTGGAAACAATTCACAAGTCTTAAATGCTACAAATCCCGCTGCTGCTGCCGCTGCTGCTTTATTCCCTAACCTTGCAGTTCCTCCTCCTGTTGTGAACAATCTAACCGGATGGCCTACTGGAAATATGGCACTATCGAGTCTAATAGCGTCTGGTGATGCCATTATTGATCCTACTACTGGTCAAATTAGTGGTATAATTGATCATGGAGATCGTAGCCCAGGTTCAATGTAGTAAGTAACAGATTATCAATGCTTAATACAATTCGATTAACCCACTTACCGTTTTTCATAATAATGTTAGTAATGATATCTTTATTCATTGATATAAATTTTATTACGGTAAGGAATTCTCAGCTTAAATAGTTGAATATTGCAATATATTTCTCTTTAACATACATTCAAACTGCTTCGGTTTGGGCACCCGTGCAGTATCACAGCCCTCACACATATCAAATGAGATCTGTGTGGCGCATATGTATTTGGTGCCTCCTTGTACCAATATGTATGTGTTAAAATAAATAAATAATAAAACATTCAAACTGTATTATTCGAAAATTATATTTAATCAATTTTTTCTCACTAGTCACCATCTGTTCATTTTTGTCGACAAACGTTCACTCTCAATTCTGGTGCTACCCCTACTTTTTTGGTCATCAGATATCACATGCTTGAATTTCCACTCCCTCATCTTTTTTTCAAAGAGTAAACAAACACGAGAAGATGCTGATATATGCAATGTTTTGTTTTAAGAATACTAGTATTTAGCATCGTATTAAGTTCATACACCATTCATAATATGAAGCCAGTACACAAATCGTATTCATAATTATCTGATTCAAACAATAAGGTTTATGATTATATTTGCACACTTGAATAATAAGTAGCCTAAACCTTTGAACAGACCAGACCGCCGTAAATAATAATGCTTTCTATAAATTATTTTCTATGAGAAAGTGTTTGCATATATTCGCCTTTATCTATACTCAAAGATATAAAAATATGGCATCTTCATTATATTATTTATTACTTTTGAGATCATGAAAGTTGTTTTGTGGTTGTGTTTTCACTTCCTAGTGATTAATATTGCTTTCTTTTTTTTCGCTGTGATAACTGGAGCTTTTACTAAAATATGAGGAAGTGTCTCTACTAAGTGTAACATCTTTATTGACAGTTACTGTCTCACCGTCTCATGCAGCTAATTTTTTACTAGACACTCGAAGAATGCTTCCCTTTTTGCAACTGAAATGATTTTCATACCGTTGTTCAGTTTACTCAGTGCGCTTTATAAGAGTATGGAATCTAACTGTCGGTTTATAAAAGACGTAGGCAAAAGCTGTTACTCGTTAATTAGGTACATGTTAAATGTATTTATCAGTGTATTTTACAACTGCACGATGTTCTTCAGCGTAAGGTAACTTCTGAAATCAGAATGGGCAACTTAATACACGGTACTTTATTCAGAACTGGTTTCAATGGCTTTTCTATGGCTCAAGGTTTCTTTGATTAATTGTGCATTGTCTTATGGGTAGTTGATAAATATTCTATTTTAGCTCAACATTCTTCATGTACATGACAGTTTATCCAAGGTATATTTTGTTAATAAACGGAATACACACATTGAGACATTATATATACTTATTTTTACAGGATGATAATAGTACTGATAATAAACTTGTTATACATGGTGACAGTGAGGTTAAATAGAGAAAGGTATTGGGAATTTTTTTAAACAAGAAATGTTTAAAAATCGTTTGATTGTTAATGGCTTAAGTATTCATCAAAAGGATAGATAGGGAAATTATTATTTGGAAAGGATGGCTCATCATGATAAAATAAAATGTTGAAATTGAGATGAAATGTAGTCGGAAAGTTCATGAAAATAAAAACAAACCAGTTGGGGTTAGAAGATTTAAGGGGAAGGTGGAAGGTGAAGCAAATGGCTGTAAAGAAACAAGAGAAAAATTTTAACACATTAAGACTATGGTAGAAGAAGAGGTTGTACCAGTCTCTTTTGCACACACAATTCTGGTTTTTCCAGATGTATGGTTATTGCTTTCATAATCCAAAGAAGATTCAGTCTAATTACCTTAGGAAGACTTCTACTTACCTTGTAGATAACTTTAAACGCAGAGCCTGTCTTGATTGAGTGACCTCTGTTCACAAGGTGTTCGATTATAGGACTTCTTATTGAGCCGTTGCCTCCTCTTTTTAGCTACATCGGACAATGTTCTTGAATTCTTTTGGATAAAGTACGCATCGAACGACCTATATACCTAGCTCCACAAGAGCAGGTAAATTGGTAAATGCACATTGATTTGGTCAGATGCGATAATTTATCTTTCAGATTATTGGTGAACAATGATCGGCCGGAAAATAATATTCGCAATGTTGCTGCAAAGAATGTTATTTTTAAGGAATCCGAAATCCTCCTGTTTAAGATATATGTGACTATCACCTTTGAAGTCGATGTTCATGTATAGAGTTTTCTTTTTTACTGTATTCTGGTATCCATTTTGTTAAAGTTCAGGACGCGTTTTACTTTGCAAAATATGTTAATTTAGTCATACAAAAATTTAATCCTACTATTTTACCAATCAGTTGTTTGATTATTACAAGTATGTGAACATCTACATCACTAGACCCTGTTATTTACTGTTATTGGTAATAAAATCAAGGTAACATAGCTAGTACAAATTGAGCTGTAAAATTTCACAAATTATTGTCAAGTTATCTTCGTTCTAATTTCTTTTTATCTTTTCTTTTTCTCTAGATGGTTTCATTACAGATAGGTTTTATTTTTTATTTGTAGCTCTAATGAAGATCCTATTTCGCGACGCGGAAGGCGTCATTACCATCCAGACGAAATCGGTTATTATGAAAGGTAGTTTTTCTCGTTTTTTATGTTTTTTTACTGCTGATATTCACAGTGATAGTTTTTATAAGTGTAGATTAGATGAAGAATAAAATCAAGCCTGCATAATTTATTATTTGCAATTTAGAACGTGTTACGGATAAATATATTGCTTTTAATCTCAACAGTAATTAGTTAGTCTCTACATAAGATCTGTTCGTTGGTTATTGAAGTATAATATCAAAGAACCTTCCTGTTTACTTTTTCTACAGTATAAATTTCTCGATATGAGTAATACTGTTGTTTGCATTCTTTACCTTATACCAGACATATTCTGTAAGTCGAAATCATATTTTTGTGTTATTTCCCTCTTAAAATGTAGCTTTCTAGTGTAATGAATAATGATGTTTACCAATATATGTAAATAGGTATTAGATAAAAAAAGTTTCAGGCTACGATTTAATTATCAGTGATGGCTTTTTCAGTACAAAACCATGTTTCAAGATACATATTTTTCGAATATATATATATATATATATATATATATATATATATATATATATATATAATAAAAATATCAGTTTACAGTCAAAAGTCACACTTCACTATCTAGTTAATAACAATAAGATAAATTATTAATCAATTGGTTGAAGTTTTTTTACGTTCGATTTGTCTGTCTTAAAACTCCGACTTACAGGTTGATGAAACTTTTCACGGTTCATCTTTTAAGTGTAATAGATTGTGTATTGGTGTTTAAGTTAATCTCCAAATCGTACCTGTACTTCCTTTCTTTATTCATCACTGTCAACAAGTGTGCTGATAAATTAACTTAGATATTTGTGGTAATATTGACAATCAGTTAGCCAGTTATATGCAGTCAATATTGACTAATGATGAATTAGAATTTCCAAGTGTCTTTAACCACTATTCATTACTTATCACAATATAAATCGATAGGTGAAATATATTACCTTACCTATGTACTACAGTGAATCTTATATATATATAACAACTTAATCTGACTGTCTTGTTACGTCTAGGCTATTTGTTCGGTTCATCGTAGTTATGGATCACTCAAGTAGCTGGGTAATATCAAGTCATAAAGTGTCTCAAAGAAAAATCTACCATGCTGTGGCTTGATTGTGTCATATATAACACTATTCACTACATTTTCCGATTTCTAGTGCTACCCGAAGTGATTTCAATTTGACAGAAAGCTAAGGCACTCCAACTTCCAAGACGTCACAAATGATCAGACCCTTTTTAAGGACAGTGGTGACCTTCAGGTTAAGGAACTGAGTTATTTGCAGACATTCTAGTACTAGTGTGTCCCAACTTCGTGGAATGAGTTGACAGTTGTCCCTATATTTACAAAGAGTTCATGTCGATTTAGCAACAATCATCGAGGAATGAGTCTACTCTCGATCGCGTCCAACCTATTTGCTTCCGTTATACTTCGTAGGTTGTTCAAAACCCGAGAAGGATTGACTCGCAAGGAGCAGGCTGCTTTTCGTTCTGGTCGACGATGTATTGATCATATCTTCACCCTCCGCCAAATGTTGGAGCACTGTCATACTTATTACAGGCCAACAATCGTAGTGTTTCTTGACATCAGGGCTGCCTTCGATTCGTTGGACAGGACTGTTCTCTGGGATTGTCTATTGAGGAAGGGTGTGTCTGAGAAGTTTATTGACATCCTAAAAGCCCTATATACAAACACGTCAGGTAGTGGTGGTGCGGCTCTGTTGTCTGGAGAAAGACTTCTTGACCTTGAGTATGCGGATGTTATTGTCTTATTTATTTATTTGAACACATAGATATCGGTACAAGAAGGCACCAAATACATATGCGCCACACAGATCTCATTTGATATGTGTGAGGGCTGTGATACTGCACGGGTGCCCAAACCGAAGCAGGTGGTTTTCTTAAGGGGACACACCTCGAGCCTTCAATCTGAAGATCTGACCCACAAGGCAGTGGAGCATCGTAAGGAGATGCAGTCCCATGGTAGCCGGTGACCAACGATTGGTTCATACGCCATTTGTTTCCACAGGATACTGGAGCCCATGTGCACCATTTGTTTGGGATCCGGTTAAAGCTCCGAACGTTCGCTTTTCGTCCTCTCATTTTCGTAAACAACACCCCTGACACGAGAAGGCAGTGAGTAGGACTTCCCTGGCAGAGGCTATACACGCATGGTCATGTGAGAGCATTTCGAGAGGGAGAGCGGACTCTCCCCACTCTCGGCCGTACCAGGGCATTTGGGGGCTGTTATTGTCTTACCGTGAAATGATACCCAAGCTATACAATCCTCACTTAATCAACAGACGATTAGTTTCTGGACGTATGGTATGCGTTCCGCACCTTCGAAGTGTAACGTGCTTTTACAAGACTGGCAAGATTCTGATCCTGCACTCACCTTGGATGGTGAGCAGGTAGAAGTAGTCTTGAAGTTCGTGTATCTGAGTAGTTGCATAAGAGCTGTTGGTTGCGTGAATGATGAGACCGATTCACGTATAGTGAATGCCAGAGAGTCTTATGCCAATCTGGGACACCTTTGGCGCCTTTATGATGTTAGTTTTGTTGTAAAAGGTCGGATCTACAACGTGACGGTGAGAGCAATTTTGCTCTATACTTGTGGAACCAGGCCTCTCCGAGTTGAGGATGTTAGACGACTATTTGTCTTTGATAATCTTTGTCATCGAAGAATTGCTATCATTCAGTGACAACATCACGTTAGTAGTGTTAAGGTTCGAGAACGTGTGTTCAACCATAGTGACGATAGTTCAGTTGATATCACCATCTTTAAACACCGACTTCGGCATTCGTTGTTGCTCTTCTTTTTATTATACTCACCTTCAACCCTAACTCATTGTTATTGTACGGTGCATATGTATTTGGTGTCCTTGTAGTATTGGTTACTATGTCAAGCCCACACAGCTTATACTAGCTTCCGAACATGCTAATTTTTTCATCCTTCTTGAGTCACATTTTAACCATGATAATTCGTTTATCAACCTTGACTTTGTATGTAAGTGTATGTGTGTGCATTTCTCATATTACTCATCACGTGTCTGTAATTTATTTTTGTTTATCTATAAACATTGAGTAACGCTTGGTTAAATGGAGTTGACTCGCACACCTCCACCGCGTCGTCTACCTGCATCAGTGTTTGAACGAAATATACGTTTAAAATATCTATTTACGTATATGACTTATTTAATTCCGTTATTCTCTAACGCGATCTAAGTCGTTCATTGTATACGATGTTTGGTGGGATGTATGTTTTGATAGCAGTCAGCAAACGATCTACCTGGAGTCGGACCTCCGGGTTACTAAACCTATTGGACCAACATTTATGTGTTCAAGTAAAAATTTAATAAATAATCAGACTCAATGTAGTGAGAATTAATTGTTGGTAAATTTACATGGATAATTCAAATTAAACCATATCAGTACCTATTCAATCCTCAGTGTCTTATTTCATATACACTTCGTTACTGTTTATCGAGGTTTTATTAGCTCGATTTTTTGCATTTTTTTTATTTTCTCTTTTGTTGTCATTCAGTATGGTAGTTTAGGTCTACATACTTTGCTAGATCAAAAGTATTTGTTTAATGTTGGAGTAATTACACTTAGAACTTATTTTCATTATTCTTTTTCAAATGGCCAATATAAGCAAACAAAGTTTTTTGTGCATCTGGTAAATTGTAGGTCTGTGACTATTCATCTGCTATTCAGTGTGAAAAAATGTTTTCACTCGTTTGCTTTGTCAAGGCACTGCGTTGCAAAAACTTAATGTAGTTTGTGTTGTGTAACACCAGGATATGTAGTTTGATCTAAAGCTTTCATCTTAAAAATTGTGATTCAAAATTAAGAGTTTTTAATAATCTGCTTTGTTTCGCTTGCAGAGAAGGCTATCGATCACGTCGTCGTAGTCGTTCAAGTAGCAGGGAACGTTATCATTCACGGCACCGTCGGTAAGTATTTCTCTTCGTTTTCATATAACACTTAACTGGTCGTTAAGACACTAATTCACAGCAAATTGAGCAATTTACAAATCATTTGATTAATATTACAATGTTTTCCTACAATTCTACTCCAAAAAGTTGTCAATTTTAATCATAGGTATCATATGCTTTCGCACTTCCAACCCTAAAGCTACTTGTGTTTTGCAGGCGTAAGATATTTCTTTTTTTCAGAAATGATATATGTTCTTAGCTGTATAATCTGGTTCTCCACTTAGACCTCGTACCTGTCTAATTTATGCACATGTAAGCAGTGATTAGTACAAATGAATTCGTCGTGCATTGTCGTTGTTAGTGGATTATTTTTGGTGAAATTCATGAGCCTATAGCTGCATTTATTTACAATAAATTTTTATCTCTTTGTGGATTACTGATGTTATTTTTGGCGATTCTTTGTTGATTGTTTGTTATATTTATACTTTGCTGTTTATATGATTTACTTAAAGCCATCGTGATTCATCAAGATCTGGAAGAGAATATGAACACCGTAGAGGAACATCACATCATTCTCGCCGTTCACGCGAGGACCGTTACTCTGGAGGGGTTGTTGGTGCAGAGGAACACGCTCCTACCGAAGCCCCCTCACCAAATCTATCTGGCGTTGGATCACATCGAAGCAGTGGGCGACGAAGTGATCGCGATCGACCTGGCCGAGATCGAAGCCGTGAAAGAGATCGTAGTAGGCATCGAAGTGAACGTCGGGATCATGAACGGTCAGTTCGCCCTTCTAGACAAAGTGATCGTCGTTCGTCGCGTCGTAAAGAGCAGCCTTCCCCACCAAGACCCGTTACTTCAGATAAACAACCAACTACCAAACCTGATCCTCTTTCGGCTGCCGCAGCAGCAGCTGCCAACATTGCCGCCGCCTTGGGAGCTACAAGCTCCAGCGGCAAAGCTTCTTGATAAGCAATTTATTTCTTTGGACAGATTTTGCTGCATTGTACAGTTTTTGTATTTTAAATGAATATGTTTTTCAAACGTAAATTTCGTCCATTTTATGGTTCTTCACTATTTGCATTTTTAGTTCATTTTTTATTCTCGTAGTCTTTCACACGAGTATTCTAATTATTATAGATATGCTTTGTCTTCAGTGAGTTTACTGATTGCTGGGGTTTGTATCACTCAATCCATTAATAGAGGGATTTTTTGTCTAAAGATTGCAACTTGTATAGACATTCTTTTGATGACATATAGATACGGTTAATAGTCCCCTAAATGCAGCTACGCTTAGGAAAATACACTTGTAGTAATCGAAAGTCCAGGCCAAAATCCGTGATAGAAAATATAAACTCAGTATAGTCGTAGCAGAGGTGAAGCTGGTAACATAAGTCCTACTCCAAATCTCACAGTACATCTGCACTCAAACTGACGAAATCGCAGTCGACTTTCACAACCGGGTGTCGGTATATGGACTTCTATGGTAGTTTATTTATTTATTTATTTTAACACATAAGTATAGGTACAGGGAGGCACCAAATACATATGCGCCACACAAATCTCAATTGATTTGTGTGAGGGCTGTGATACTGTCCGGGTGCCCAAACCGAAGCAGGTGGTTTTCTTAGGGGGCCACACCCCGAGCCTTTGACCTAAAGGTCTGATCCACAAGGCAGTGGAGCATCGTAAGGAGATGCAGTCCCATGGTAGCCGGTGACCAACGATTGGTTCATACGCCATTTGTCCCCGCAGGATACTGGAGCCCATGTGCACCATTTGTTTGGGATCCGGTTAAAGCTCCGAACGTTCGCTTTTCGTCCTCTCATTTTCGTAAACAACACCCCTGACACGAGAAGGCAGTGAGTAGGACTTCCCTGGCAGAGGCTATATACGCATGGCCATGTGAGAGCATTTCGAGAGGGAGAGCGGACTCTCCCCACTCTCGGCCGTACCAGGGCATTTGGGTAGACCAAGTTGGTTCACAGATGGTTTTTTTCCATAAGTATGGAATCAGACTGATATCTATCTTGTGGTTGGAATTTTCATCGTATCGTATCCACTGGTGGAGAGCCTTAAGTGCATGTTTCGATGGTGACTTACTGTTGACTGATCCTGAGTGTACCCTTGCACAATGTCTCTTAACGCAGACCCATCATTCTTATGTCACGGACGTTCACATCTCACATGCTTTTGAGCGTTGGTCACAATGCACTTTGCCTAACACTGTTAGTACAAGTGTACTGTAGGAATAAATTTATGGGCGTTGAGAAAGTGACTTCAAAAGTATAAGAGTAAGCTGCATCAACCTTGAACATGCACTTCATTTGAATAACGTCGATTAAGATAACCCGGCGGTTGTTGCTACCTTGGCGTGGTGGTCGGGCTTGCCTATTGTGTCGAGGCAACTGAGCTATACTGGCTGTAACAATCGTTCCTCAAGGTTCTACCATGCCAGACAGGTCTGTTGAAGAGTGGTAAGACTAAAAGTAACAAATCCAAGGTCCGAAGTCGTACTGCTGACTGTACAAAGGTGTGACAGCAGTAAGGTGTTTCCTTCAGACAAACAGCATAACAGCGCTTCTGTCTTCCCACAAGGAGTGGTGGGGTTAGAAAAGATCGACCCTGAAAATACACATCTCGCTTGATCCCACGGGTATCCGTCTCCGGCGGTAAGGTCTCAACAAGTTCGGAGCTAACACAAAAACTACTCATAAGAAGGTCGTGTGTGGCCGACCTCAAGCATCTGCCCCTTGGGCACTGCGGTCACGCTCTCAGGTCACTAAGAACAGCTCTAGTCCCATTCTTTTTCCAGGTACCTCCGGAAGGACCCTTCTACGGTGTGGGCAACCGAGAAGTGATAACCGCTTTCATAACTCTAACAACACTCAAGACCATTGTATTCATAGTCAACTTCCCTCTTCAATTCCTATTATTCCTCCTACATCGACTTTCAAATATAAACTTCCTCTTTTGGTTTCCTCCTCAAGTGTCACCACAACCAACGATTCTAGTGCGCGAAACACTGTCCCAGGTCTACTGAAACCTCGCTCCAAACTACACATTGGAGCCTTCAACGTACGCACACTATGCCAAATCGGTCAGCAGGCTTCCTTGGCTAAAACCCTAGAATCTCGTACCATTGATGTGTGCTGTGTATGCGAAACACACACAGGATCCTAGTGTTGTCATTCAGTCGGCAAAACAGAGAGCCGACGAGATACACCCTCCGTGTATCTGGCGACCCGACGGCTAGTTCTCGTGAACTGGCAGGCGTAGGCATAGCACTTAGCATGAGGGCAGAACAAGCGCTATTAGAGTGAGTCCCCGTAAACGGTCGTCTATGCTCCCTTTGGCTAAACGACTTCGTAAGAACTCGGAAGGATAGGGACACACGTCGTTGCCTTTTCGTCGTTTCTGCCTACGCTCCCACTGACTGCAGTTCGGATGAAGTGAAAGATGAATTTACAGAAAGCTGTCTGAACTTCTTCAGAAAGCTAGACACTCAGACATAGTACTCGTGGGAGGTGATTTTAATGCCCAGGTAGGTAGCTTAAACGAAACAGAAAGATATTTAGGTGGGCATTTTGTTATTCCGGCACAGCGAACAGATAATGGTGAACGTTTATTTTTTGCAAACACAAATTTTAAGCATAAGGAGAGACATTGTGTAACATGGCGACCCCCTGCACCAAACCAACGATGGACTCAAATAGACCATATTGCCATCAGTCATCGTTGGAGAGGGTCAAAAGAAGATTGTCGCTCATTCTAGAGTACCTGTTTGGACTCCGACCATGCCCTAATACGAGCACGCATCTGCTTGCGCCTCACTGGACGCAAAAGAGCCACACAAAAAAGACTCATTAGAACTGGACTGAGTAACGAGAAAACCAAAAGTAGGTTCCAGGAACAACTGAGGTCTCACTTAGGTAGTTCTGAAAACGAGACTGACCCAGATGTTGCTTGGAAAGTTATACAATCAGCTGTGGAAACAGCAGTGACATCTATTAGTAATTTCAACCAAAGGGTTACAAAGAACCACTGGATTTCTTCAAGGTCTATTGCACTGATAGATTCTCGTAAACTCATCCCATCAGGTTCTGAACACGATGAAGAGCGTAAGCAAATCAGATCTAGGTTAAGCAAAAGTCTAAGGAACAATCGTGAGCAGTGGTGGGCAACGAAAGCAAAAGAGATGGAAAAGGCGGCGGCTATAGGGAACACAAGACAGCTCCACAGACTAACAAAAGATACTGGAATTAATAAGTCAAGTGTAAGTCAGACTATTTCGGAAATAAACGACGCTCATCTGTCCCCAGTCCAAACGTTTAGAACGATGGGCGGAGCATTTTAGAGAACACTTCAGCTGGCCTTCACCTACTCTACAACTTCCTTTCCATCCCCAGACAGCGTGGATGGAACATTGAAGTAGGTCCCCCAACTCTAGCTGAAGTTCAAAAGGCTATAGTTAATCTAAAACGAGGGAGGGCAGCAGGTCCAGATGGATTGGTTCCAGTGGTATTTAACGATGGTGCTCCAATTTCAGTGATTAGGTTGACTAGTATTTTAGCTAAAATTTTGGAGTTGCACATTATCTCATCTCACTGGTTACAATCACTTATTGTCCCAATATTTAAGAAATGGTCAAAATCCTGTGACAACCACAGAGGGATTAGTTTGACTAATATAGTAACTAAAATACTAGCCTCGATAATTATCGAACGCCTAACTAAAACTCGTGAACTGCAAACACGTGAGAATCAAGCTGGCTTCAGACCTGGTCGTGGATACATAGACCACATATTCACCATTCGCCAGGTTCTAGAACACAGGCATACTTATCAGCGTCCGACGATGGTGGTATTTCTTGACCTAAAAGCAGCATTTGACTCCGTAGATCGCATGATTCTGTGGCAGTGTCTATCATTAAAAGGTGTACCTCAGAAGTACATAAATTTTTGAAGTGTCTTTACTCGAACACCACTAATTGAGTTAAAGCTTATGGCGAACTGTCATCTGCTTTTGCAACCTCGAGTGGTGTCCGTCGAGGCTGCTCACTTTCTCCATTTTTGTTTAACTTCTTCGTAGACCTACTGATGGAAATAACGCTCTCATCGACTGAATTCTCGGGTAGTGATCTTCCAGGAGGCCCACTTATCGACTTAAAATACGCAGATGACATAGTCCTGTTTGATAAAGACGCTGATAGAATGCAGTCTTCTTGTAGCACTGAGCAACAATGTCAGGATGTTTGGGATGCGCTTCTCTCCCTCTAAATGCAAGTTGTTGCTTCAGGACTGGCCTGCGTCAACACCCGAACTAAAGATAGGGAGTGAAGCAATCGAACGCGTTGACAACTTCACTTTTCTTGGAAGTTCGATCACCCCTAATGGGTCGATGTTTGACGAAATCTGCACGGATTCGAAAAACTCGTTCGCTTTTGCCAATCTACATCACCTATGGCGAAGGCGAGATATCCGTCTATCAATTAATGGAAGAGTATACTGTGCAGCAGTTCGTTCTGTTTTAATTTACGGCTGTGAAACATGACCATTAAGAGTAGAAGATACTCGTAAGTTACTAGTATTTTACCACAGATGCCTTAGGAATATTGCTGGGATCACCGGGGAAGTAATAGTGAGGTTAGACGCAGTGTATTAGGGAATGATGATAAGTTAGTTGGTGAGGTTGTGGATCTTCATCGACTGAGATGGTTGGGTCACAAGTTACGTATGCCTGAACATCGGTTACCACGACGCTCAATGCTAACCGGTGTTGGGGATAATTGGAAGAAAGTTAGGGGTGGCCAAACCAAAACGTAGCACCAGTGTTTGAAGTCACTAACTTCTGGTCTGAGCCATGTTGGAAGATTCAGACTGCCTGGTTGGGGTCCGCGTGACTATCGTAACCAATGTTTGGAGACTCTTGGTGACATGGCTCAGAATCGATCACAATGGAGTCGGTGT